AAAATATCAAGAAGATATTATATTATTTTAATTTTCATATTGCTGATCTAAAAGAGATAGTATTTATTTTTATTTTCATATAATTATTATTATTAGTATTTCAAAAAAGTTTTAATAATTATTAAATTTATTAATTTCTTGTTAAAGTTATATTTAACTCTATTATTTTATTATTTAATAACTAAATTATAAGTTTTAATAATTTATTAATTTGATTTTTTATATAATTACAATTATTATTTATCTATAAAGACTACTAATAGTAATAATATAAAATTCTATAAAAATATAGAATTCTAGCTTTATTTTATTATAAAAACAAAAAATATTTATTAATAAAAATAAGAATTTTTATTATAAAAAGATAATTTTAATTTTGCTATATTTTACTATTTTATTTGGATTTTCAGTAATTTATTATAAAAATATATATAATAAATTAATTTTAATTAAAATAAAATTAATATTATTATAGTATATTTTATTATTTATACTTTTATTTTTATTAAATAATATTATATTATATTTTTAATTTAATTTATAATTATTTATATTTTTATAAAATATTTATTATTAATTAATTTAATAATTATTAGTGGGTAACTTAATTTGATAATAATTTTATTATACTTGTATTATATTTCTATAATTATTTTAAATAAAAAGTTTTTTTACTTTTAGTAAAAGAGTTATATAAGTTAGAAGAAAGAAATAGACTAATACAAAAATAAATATCTAAATTTATAAAAATTTTAACACAAATTATTAAATAATTCTATTAAAAAATAAAAAGAAAATATGTTTAAAAGGTAATTAAATTAATAAGAATTACTAACTAAAAATAAAAGTTATTAATATTTTTATACTTATAAATATATATTCTAGTATTTTTAATATCAACAAAAAAATATATTCTATTTTTTCAAAATTTAAAAACTCGATAAATAAATAATTAAAAATTCAATCCTAAACAAATCAATATTATTACTATTTTACTTGAATTTCCAAAATATTATATCTTTTTACTATTTAATAAATAAAAAATAAGCTTTATTAAAATTAAAACTAAAACTAAAAACTATTTCAATTGATATATAAAAAAGTATTCTTACAAAAATAATATTAAGTAAAATAATAAAAAGTGAAATAATATTAGAAAATTTTACTATTATATGGATATTTTTAAAATTTTTGTGTTTTTTAATTATTTTTGGAATTTGTAATATTTATATTACAATTATAACAATATTTTAGTTAATAATTTAAATAAATTTTATAATTCTCAGAATCTCAAAAATAATAAATAACAATTAAAAATATATAATAAATTAATAATAAATTCATCTAATAATAAATTATATTTTATTATTATTAAATTATAATTTTATAATAAAATTACATATATATTATATAAAATTCTTTAATTAAATATTATTATTAAAAATTTTAGATCCTATTCTAGCTGATTATATTATAAATATACTGTTATCTTTTTTTTAGATTTATTATAATTATACTTTAATACTTGATATATTATATAGATTTAATTATATTATACTTTTTCACTTATAATTCTTAATAAACTTTATTCTAATCAAGTAACTTATTATAATATTATTAAGCACTTTTTACTTTTCTCAAAAACTTACAAAATATAATAATAACTTTTTGATACTTTCTTTATGAATAAACTAAAATTTTTTATTTCTTATTATTAACAAAAAGAAATTATTATTAAAGAAAATAAATAATAAAAAGAATACTATAATAATTATAAAATATAGTAATATTATCAAAAGTCATATAATTAATCAATTAAAATTCAAAATTATTAAAAAGCTTAAATTTGATATTTAGAATATTATAAATGTTAGATTACAAAATTTTAGTCAAAACTACAAATTACATAATATTAATTACATTATCAATTACAAGTCTGACTTGAATTAACAAGCTTTAATATTTGATTCTAACTTATTTTAACTAATTAAATTTAAAAATAAAAAATAAATATAGTATTTAATATAATAATTAATATTATAAATTAGATTATATTTATTAAGATTAAAGAAATATAAAAAAATATATATTAATAGAATACTTATATTTATACAAAAATTTTATTTTCTATCTATAAATATTATTTTTATACAAAATATAAAATAAGAGTTTTTATCAGATTAAATTGATCTATATTAAAATTTATTATATATTATAAGATAATAAAGGATATTATATCTGTATCAGATAAAGATTAAAAAGAATATAAAAAATAAAATAAAGAGTAAAAGAAATAAAAAAGAATTATATAGAAGATAAAGAGATCAAAAAAATTAAGATTAAAGAAATATAAAAGAATATATATTGATAAAATACTTATATTTATACAAAATTTTATTTTATATCTATAAATATTATTTTTATACAAAATTTGTTAATATAAAATAAGAGTTTTTATCAGATTAAATTGATCTATATTAAAATTTATTATGTATTATAAGATAATAAAGAATATTATATCTATATCAAATAAAGATCAAAAGAAATATTATATGGATATAAAAAGATTAAAAAGAATATAAAAAAATAAAATAAAGAGTCAAAAAGAATTATATAGGAGATAAAAAGATCAAAAAAATATATAAAAAAATATAAAAAGATAAATATTAATATAAATTAATAAAATATAATAAATAATTCGATAAAAATAAAAGATATTTATATAACTATTTTTGAATTATTATTATTTTTCTAATATTTAATTAATAAATTTTCACTAAAATTCATAATAATATATGATATTATTAAATTATAGAGTTCTATTCAAAATTAATAAAATTACTTAATTAAGTAATTTTATTAATAAAACATAAAAATTGACATTTTATCTTATATAAAAATTTTCAATTTTATTAACAAATATTTTTTATTTTTATATTAAAATAAAAATAATAAGTTATATTTTAATATATTTTTTTAAATTTTATTTGACAAAGTATTCTAATTGCAAAGTTATTATAAACTTTTTATAATCAAAATATAAAAAAAATTTTTGCTATAATTTTGCAATTAAAATAACTTTGTTGGATAAATTTAAAAAAATATGTTAAAATATGTTGGATAAAAATTTAAAAAATTCAGAAAAATATATAACTTATAATCTTTATTTTAATATAAAAATAAAAAATATTTGTTAATAAAATTGAAAACTTTTATATAAGACAAACTTTCAATTTTAATTAATAAAATCACATGTATAATTCTATAATTTTGTTAATCACTGTAGTAAATAATATTTTTTTAATTTTATGTTTTAATTATAAAAAATTAATTAACTTACTTTGCAATTAGAAAAAAATATATGTTGAAATATGAATTACTATTTGTATTTTAGTATAAAAATAAAAAAAATCTTGATTAATAATATTGAAAACTTTTATATAAAAAAATTTTTTTAATAATAAATAATAGTTTAAATAATAACTTACAAAGATAATATATCATTTTCAATAAGATTCCAATGTTTATTATAAAAGCATTTTATTTTTATTATATTTTTTGCATTTAATTCAAAGTCAAGCTTGTTAAACTGAAGCCGAATTATAAAAATATAAAAACTAATGGCTGATAGTATCAAACATGTTTCGTGGTGATATCTTGTGTAACAGGTTACTAATTCCTGACCTTGTGACGGAACTTTGCCCATATCGATATGTACTTTTATCTCAATTACATCATCACAATCTAAATAGCATATTCATTATCAATTTGATATGATCGGTCGATCGCGAATATACATTTACCGTACGTACATGTGCATAAGATGTTGGATTGCGATCATTTAAATTAACAATCATCCGGTAGAAGATCTTGTATACAAAAGTGCTAAGTAAATTTCCATCATCATCGAAATCAAGTAATCATCATCTAATTTAATGGAAAAAAACGCCCGACGCAAATCATTGACATAAAAAAATCGCGCTAATACTTTTTCATTATTGTTTTTGTTATGGTTCATTCAATTCGAAACAATAATTCAAAAACAATAATTGCACAACAAAAAAAAAGAACAATGGGTTCCATAAAAAGGAACCGAAAAAATGAAAAACACGGAAACGAGAAAAAAGCAAGCGAGAAGGGGTGAACGTGAACTTTATGCAAATTCGTGCATAAGGTTTGAACAAAAATCGTTTGATACTCAAAATAAATAGGGGTCTCCAAAAGCATCCCTGATATTTGAAATTATTTCTGAAGATTCTTAATAAAGAAACTAATGTTGTAAACTCGTGTTAAGACTAAGAATAAAGTTCTTATTTCAACTAAAAATTCCTACAGACGAGTAAATGAAAATGCAAACATCAACTTAAAACCAGAAAAGCTTCTCTATCTACATGTATATAACTTCATTGACTACATGTATTATTATTCAACATCCATCCATCCAAGAGACTATCTACTGTCTTTGAGGCCTTTTTCTTTTAATCCCTGAAATTTGGTTCTGGGGGACATTTTGGATTATGCCCATTATAGCAAATGCAATTGTCGATTATTTATTATTACACTATACAATACATATTACATTATTTTTTATTAATTATTATAGTTGTTCTTTCTTCTCCTGCGTGATTCTGTTCCTACTTGCTTGTACATAGTGTATTTGAGTGAGCGTGTCTATACATACTTCACAACTTTACCTTGCTTTGCCTTCAACTTACTTTTTTTTTTACTTTGCTTATCCGTCGTTGACTGTTAAAAATCTTAACTTTTAGCTTTTAAAAAATTAAACCGAATACATATCATAATAACATTAACAATTATTATATTGACGTCCAATTTGTGGATCTATTGCGCACACTTTTTCAAAAATCTCAATATCTAACCAAAAACAAAGCTTACTATTCTAAAGGAAAAAAACCACTTGCAATTAAAAAAAATTTACCCCTTTCCGCTATCCTTCTTTGTGCATAAACTAGAAATTTAGAAAATAGACTAGAATAAACATGTCAAATTTATCAACAACTTCCACATCTTCACTATGTACAAAAGCAAAGCCACTTAGATGCATTGTCTACCTGGAACCATCAAAAAACTCGAAATTCTATCAAAGTATTGATGAATTCTTTGCACAGACATATAAATTATTTGGAGCGAATGAAGCTCACCAGTATCATCCACATATCTCGATGACTGGATTCTTTTCATTGTATGATGACGAGGAGGAACAAGAAGAGGAAGAAACGATGACAAGGTGCTCAGATATCGATAACAATAGTACTAGTAGTGACAATAAAGATGATGAAGAGAATACTTCGTCAGACTCAGCCTCTGTTTCGACATTAACTCGTCATCATAATCATCATCATCGACGACCACGATTAACTGCCTTAGAGAGGTTAAATATAATCGTTGAAGAAATTGATAATTTCCTTGCCAAAAACAAAGATGAATTTACACCTCCACATGTAGAAGGAATTTTATTGGTGCCACCAGAATTGCCTTCAGTATCTTATCCACCCTCAGCAGCTTCATCCGCGCCGTCAACTCCTCTATCATCGTCACCAATCGGTAGCTGCTCCTCACCAATTAGTCCAAAATCACCAATACGTCAAGAGCAATACAAACTTCATCGACGATCTTCGTCATATTCGTCTTCCTCCTCAAAATCCTCACAATCACGAGACACATTACAAAGTCTGCTAATCCCAATAAAAGCATGTCAAAAACTTCATGAATTTGCTTCACATTTGACAAATTTTTCACGTAATGACCCAAGACTTGTGCCTTCTATATCCTCCTTATCGTCGGTTATTCGACGAAAAAGTATTAATCATATATCATTAGCGTATTGTGGCGATCGGTTTGCGAATTTGGATGGGGTAAAGGAACGACTGACTGGTGAAGTCATGCAAACAATGTTACGAATGGCGAGGGAGGGAATCGTGTTTGATGAGGTGAGAGAAGATGCACAACAAAAAGCTGGTTGGGATGTGGTAGTCTACGAACACGTGAAGGCCTGTAGTATTTTGGAGGATAGACATGTTTGGCGAGAAATTAAAAGATGGAGTATTGTTGATGGTAGCTAATCTCAATATGCAAGACTATTGGGATTGAAATTCTGACAGACACGTAATTTTAATAGATATAGATGTATTTTTTTCTTTGAGCAATAGAAAGAGATTTCTTAATCAATTATGAATTAAATTATTATCACTACTGTTGGTATATGTAAACTTTTGATAGATTTATTTTGCTTTGCTGTTTTATTTTCGCTTAGAATCAAACATTCACGCTTCATCTAACAAACTCAAAAAAAAAACAATGTCAGAATTACTGAAAATATATTTATAATTTGCAAATAATTTTTAGACATGACATACTCTGAGGGTATAACCGTTCGATTTATTAATAAATAATATTAATTAGAATATTAAAAAAAAATGTTGAATTTTTTCTTGATTAGTTATCTAATTATCATCATCATCCAAGTCGACAACTTTTTTCTAGTAGTGTTCTTCCACTAATTTGCTCCGCATTGGAAAGATTAAAGCACAACAATACTTGGCCTGCAATTTATTCTTCTTGGCATTAAGACAAAAACATGGTTTAGTTCTTTAAAAGTCCTCACCTTTTCCGAATCTATCACACGCGGTTTGATCTAATTAACGAATTTTGAGCTTCTACCGATCCTTCAATAAATTATCTGAAAACGGCCATATATGAAATTTGGTTCTTTGGTTACTTAAGTATGCATTTCGAGGACATGTGGATCAAGATGCCACGCGAGTATCGTATGGTAATATTGCAGCATTAGGTGTGAAAGGAAAGCTGCTCTGAGCAGGTCCATGAGTCACATCATCATCACAGATACTCTTGCATCAATTACGAAATATGCAAATCCATTTGAACTTTTTTTCTTGGGTGGAAATTGTTTCTCCAAGTGCAAATATCGAATCATAAAAAAATCAGTAAGCTTACTACCTTTGATGTGATGATTGGTTAGTCTTCGAATTTGTTTTATAACTTAAATCAAGGCTTATGACAAAATCTTGAATCTTGGTATCCCAGAACTTTGTTTTGAACAAGTCTTTGCGTGAATGCGTAAGATAATGTCACTAGCAATTACTGGCATAATTTGATCAATACCTGCTAAAGGCATTGCTCGCGGATCGAAATGTATCTTCATCTTGACGAATGGATACATTTTCATCCAGGATCCGTGTAGTAAGGACGGTTGTACTGCCACCTTCTCAATTTGACTAGTTCATCTGATAATATTAATGTGTCTATACGCGTAAATACTTTATTTTGGGGTTTTAAAACAGCATTCCCGAGTTGAAGCAATTTACGTATTTGACTCTGATTTGGTCCGGGTTTTTAGATAATAAATATTTGAGAATCTGGTCGTGTTCGTCTGAAGGTTTCAGAAGACCTTTTTAAATTTCAATTGATTTTCTAAAAATTATACCTCAAGTGCCGCGTGTATTGCCAAAGTTTTTGTCAGCCTTCTTCTAGCAGTCTCACTTGCACCATCTAGCGCTCTTGTTATCCCCTACGCTCAAAAAATGAGTCCAATGGACTAAGATCAGCTCCCAAAATAATGGACGGTCTTTCTTGCAATGAATGGAATATTTGGTGTATGTCAGCCGAATATTCTGCAAATTTCGATCAGACCTGCAGGTCCTTAGAAGACGTGAAAGCGAGATCATTACAGATACAGTCAGATCTCAATGGGATTAATTAATATCTTACTTTAACGACATCACCCTTAAGAGAACAGGCTCAATTCAGCGAATCCCTTAAAACAGCGACATTTTTTTCAATTTTTTACTATATGTCCCGACATAGAACTCGATCACTGCTATTTGGATATTTTTGCTCTAAGAAAACTTTTTTATCATCCGAAATTTTGAAGCTAATTTTGTTGATTCAAATAAGCTTTAATTTGGCCGAGTTTCGCCATAAGTTGTATTCATGATTATTGGTCAAGTTTATTTTGTCCCCGTATTTGAAAATCCTTAACAAGGTGGTAATAGAACATACACGTGCAAGATCACATGTCTAAAATTTTCCACTTTAGAGTCTACTCGAAAACAAAGCACGATGGTGTAATGATTATGTGGCGGGAAAGTTTACGTAGTACTTTTACACATGTCCTTGTGCGCAGGATAGATTTCCGAACTGTTTCCTGTGTCTCAATTTGCCTTTTCCATTCAATCAGACACCGTGGATTGAATCAAAACTTTACGTACCAACTATGTACTCGCCACTCGCAGCATTACATAATAAATATCATATGGGTGGGGGCAGTAATTAGAGTGGCACAAAAGTTTTGATTTGTATACTAGTCACCCAACATCATCATTATACATGTATATATATAGGAGCAGCCTACTAAATACATAAATATATAATTTTTTTACCAGACTCATCTCACCCATCCCAATCTATAAATATAGCAATCTATCTATCTGTTCTGTCTGATTAGTTTAAAAATAAAAAACTTAATATTATTATCTTGCTGGTTTCAGGGAAAAGAGATTATAAATAATATATCTGTACATTGAACCCCATAGGTATTCATTCTTAGTAATAGTCTATCTTAATGTTGATTTTTAATTTTTTCGATTATTGTATATGTAATAAATAATCATTATTAAAATTATTTATTTTTTTTATTTATTTTACCGGCTTTGGCTTTGGTCTGTGTCGTGTGTATCCTGGTCTTATTGGTTTGCAATTTATTAATTTCTCACGATTTTTTTTCATATTGTTTAGCGGTAGCTGACCTACTTTTTTATTTTTTGATTCCAAGGTTTCAAGATAAAAACCAACCACCAATTCAAGCTTCCAGCATCAAGCAGACAGGCAACTACACTCACATTTGTACAGTTTTCTGTCCGCGGAAGCAACAACAGGACAGACAAGCAGAAACAAATCGAGGTCTCACTCTACGAATTGCGTGAGAGTCTGTGCATCGATTCACTGAGGTCTTACTGATTGAGTCCAAAGGAAGAATACACGAGCAAGTAAGAGCACACAAAGATAAGGGTACTCTGCACGCAAGACAATCTAAAAGAGAAACGAACAAGCACCAACAAGTCGAGGGGAAGAAAGAGAACTCGCACAATCGAGACTACGACTTTCACAAATAAAAATTCGCCAAACTGTCCAACCATAACCCTTTTTCGTCTCTACAAGGTTCCACCTCTGTTACAGAGACCACCGCCATTACAATGGGGCAGGCACAAGATCGGATGGTGGATGACGAACAATTGTACTCAACTACTACCTCAACCACAACAACGACTACTTCGACAAGTGGATCCCCGGAACTTGGCCCTGTAATGCCTACTATGACATCAATGACTAATTCGCTTCTTTCGGACCGCAGTTCACTGTCATCATTCTCATCAACGGTACCTGTGTCATCGTTGTCATCGATGAAAAAGAAATCAATGAGCGTTGTCAATGGTGGTTTACATCCACACGATAACGATGAAGATGTCGAAGAGTTATCATCGTCATCGTCTTCGTCATCAAAAGGTAATAATGCTCGAGAAAAACAACAACAGCAGCAACAAAAGGAAAAAAAATTGACGATGATTCCTTCCGCGGTTGTTGATGGCAAGAGTCAAAATAATCAAGGTCTTGGTAATCTGATGATGAAACCAAAGCACATTGCTGTTGTCAGTGAAAGTGGTAATGGAAAGAGTGGTGGTAGCACCAAGAATAGTTCCAAACTTACAGGCTCGATTGTGCAAGCCGCTACCATCAAGATGAACAATGCGAATAACAATAGTAATCCTAATATAAATAATATTAATAAGATTAGTATCAAGGATCATCAGCAAAAAGGATTTTTCCAAGAATACCTTAAAAAATCCGAATTGATTAATCCACAAAAACAACCTCCGTCATCATCAGATCAAATCTCAAATTCATCAAATTCAAATTCAAATCCTATTACCGTTATTGCTACATCATCATCCGCAAATTCTCCCTCATCATCAATCAACACGATAGATTCAAGTAGTGAAATCTCCTCGTATTCTTCTATAAATAGCAGCAATACGATCCTCACGACCCCGACAAATCCCGGGACAGCAACAGTCAAGACAACTGTGCTGCTGGATGATTCAAAACCGTACACAATACCACCGGCAATAGCAGAGAACGTCATGCGCGAGATGCTGGCCAATAAACCTGATCCAGTTGTACTGGAACAATTGCGGCCAGTCGTGCAAAAGTCGTCCTCGTCGTCGGCACTTTTGGACAAAGGAAATGGGGGAAGCATTGATTCTCTGTTATTAGGAAGCAAGAGTAGTAAACTGTTGAAGAATAGTACCCTGTTGACGATAAAAAAGAATATCAATAATCATAGCAATATCAATAATACCAATAATATCAATAACGGTGAGTCATCTGAAGAAATTGGAAAAAAAATAATTGTTAGTAATAATGGTGGTGGTAGTAATATTAATAATCAAAAGAATAATTTATTGATCACATCTGATAATACTACTACTCATACTACTATTACTACTACTGCTACAACAGAATCCCATTTTCCTTCTAAATTCTCTTTTCCAAATATCGCCGACAAGAATTTCTTTGTTCCGAATTTTACCACTACCAATGCTACAAATTCGAATTCTTCTTCTACTATCAATACTCCAAACAATCCCAATCCTTCCATCATAACAGTTAAAACTAATCCCACCGGTGCCTCGACTACTGGTACTACTGCTAGTGTTGTTTCTTCTGCGTCATCATTGTCATCATCTTCCTCACAAAAAGTTCCTTTCGCTTTTCGTTACAACTCAGAATCATCTTCGTCCTCGACACCTTCCTCCAAGAATCCTCAAACGCCAACAATCCCAAAAATTATTTCAAATAATACGGACCCACAACCTTCCTTGGCACAGCCAACCCCGGTTCAGCAGCGTTTACGTAGTGGGCCAAACCCATTTAATCCGCCACCGATTTTGGGAGATAAATTTGTGCCTGATTTCACAGCAGCTGCTACAAAGTCTGTATCAATGTCATCATATTGTTGTCATCCATTTGGCCGAATTCAATTCAAGCAGTATTAATAATATTAACGATATTAACATCATCTAGTAGTAATAATATCTCTACTGCGACAAATACTACTAACACCGGAGATGCAGCAACTCAATTCCCTAATCCAGGGGTAGTTTTTCCCAAATTTTCGGGATCGTTTAATTTCGACGTGATAAATTCTTCTTCAAAGAAAAACTCTGATCTACAATCATTATCATCGTTTACTACTAACAATAATGCAAAGCAGCAACAGCCTACAGTAGTTGTAGCAACTAAAGTTGTCAACTCGTCATTGAGTAATACGGGAACTGGGTCTAGATCAAAAACTTTGATCGCTAATAATGGAGGCGGTGTTAGTAGCAACATTAGTAGTAATAACTCTTTGAAGCAATCAACGACGACTATTAATACTACTTCAAGCGCAAGTATCGGAAAAAGTGCTGCTACAAATCTCAATAATACAGCTATGACGATCTCAGGTAACCCATCTTCTTCATCCTCCAATCCACAACCAACACCAGTTAAAAAATTACACATAAAATTTGGCGACTATAATCTATCTGCTTCAGCACATTTACAAAAACAGCAACAAGAAGATCAAGAGGTAGCTAAAAGACTTGTGGCTCTACGGGAAATGTCATCAGATGTCGAATCAGAATCTACTTCTAATTCTTCAACGCCTAAAGCGTTTCAAAATATAAATGGAGGAGGATCGGGATCAGCAGCAGGAGGTCCAACTAGTAGTAATAATAGCGGAGGTGCAGCAACAAGTAGTAATCTTAATAATAATTTCGCATTCTACCGACCGATTCGGCCACTACCCGCGCGGGCTAAGGCACGTCAATCCAAAACAGCTAATGCCAGCAGTAGTAGTAATATCGCTAGCACAAGTGCAAGTGCTCATACTATTAACATTAATAATAAGGAAGGAAATAATAACAGCAGCAGCAGCAGTAGTAGTAGTATTAATAGTAGTAATAATAATGAGAATATCAGCAGCAACAATAATAAAGGAAAAAAGAGCGTGATGTTCAGCAAGAACCGTGACACTGATATAACAATAGCAGGATCATCGACACTACTTTCGTCGTCTTCCGGATTACCCATAATACCTCCATCACCACTATTCTCATTCACTACACCACCTCATTCGGACGGAGGCGATGATGATTTTGATGTAGATGAAGATGACGGGAATAATGAGAGTAGCCACACTGATTGGTTGGACAATGCCAATAATAAGAAAAAACGGAAAGCTCTCCAAACAGTAGGTGGGAATTCGATAGTCAGTGGAGGCGGCGGCGGTGTGATCAAGAGTTCTGCTTCGAAAGAACGTGTAAGCCCTTTGCGAAGAGTTACAAATCGTTCTTCATCACAACGGATCAGTAATTTGAGTAAATTAGTTGCACATAATAATGCATTGTCATTGGAAGGCTCTTCTGATAATAAAAAACACTCTGCTGGTTCCAGTAGTACAGGTAATAGTAAAAATGAACTGAGTAATGTTAGACCACCAGAAAAAAGGAATTTTGATTTCTCATTTACAGCGGCAGCCGCTGCCAGTGTTAATGCAGCGAGCGCAAAAAGATTAGCAGCTGTTTCTCCGTTACAGCCAATGAATACAAAAAATGATCCTTTTGCTGCTTCGATGTTCCTCAACAATAGTAATAATAACAGTTTATCAGCATCCATTAACAATAATAGTAATATACCGACAACAAATTTGAAAAAGAAAGCATCGACAAAAAGAGCTGCACCTTCTTCTGCATTATTCAAACCAGATGGAGGACTGAATAGTAGTCATCATCATTTACACCCGCATAACATGTCATCAACAAAATCGTCATCACATTCATCACAACCACCACCACCTATTGCACCAAAACGACCTCCGAATGCTCCACGTAAAAAGAGTAAAAAGAAATCATCCTCGTCATCATCGATAGGAATAGGACAACACCAGCAACATGATGATACATCATCGACAGGCTCGTTTGAGGTACAGCAAATGAATAATGCCAATAGTCATCAACCTTCAATGGGTAGCAGACGCAAAGTCCGATTCCAGGAGAAAAATGGCGATTGGATTTGTATATTCTGTGAATATCGACTCTATTACGGTGATGGTGGTCGTCGAAGTAGGCGAAGAACAAAAGCATCGTCAAATATGAATGGGGCTGATGGCATAAATGAAAATAATATCAATAGTAGTAATAGTAATAGTAATCCTCATAATAGCAATAGTCATCATGCTGGTGGTCAAGGTAAAAGCGGAGCTGATCGAGCTTTTGCAAGTTAAGGGTAAGTTAATTTTTGATCATTTGTTGTTTTTTATTTATAAATTTTATTGTTTCTAATACTTTGAGATTCTGCTTCTAATACTTATCTAATGCTACGAGTTTCTATTTGAATACTGCATACATAGGAAAATATTGTTATTGTTATTAGCACTCCTTTAGTTTTAATAATGTTGTAAGTGTTTAATTCTTTGATCTTTGATTTTTTATTATCGATTTTATGCTTATAATTTAATTTCTATTTTTTTATCATTACTTTATATATGAATAATAAAAAAGATACATTCTTAATTTCATTACATTTATTTCTTCAATTTTTTGCAGACTAGATAGATTTATGGGACGGTACGGCGACCCTCGCTCGTTACCCCTCTCGTATGTGTGTCTATGTACTACTATTACTATGATATTATCATCTTTTTATATAATAATGGAAAGAAATCTACTATCTTTCTATTCATCCAGCTATCCTATCCATCTATCTTGTCATGCCATATATTATCTATGATTCAAATCTAGAAAAGAAAAAATTGACACGCTCAAGCAAGTAAATCAAAAACCAAAGCAAGGACTCTCTCTGAATGTCCTATCACTACCACCAACTACTACACTACGATCTCTGCTCTCTCTGTGTACGATGAGTCTTTTTTTCTTTTCTTTTACTTTTTTATCTTTACTTTTTCTCTTTCCATATTTTTTATTATTTTTATTGTTACTACAATGACTTTCTATTATTATTTACAAAAACAATTATTCTTATTATTATTATTAATCGACAACAATCTATTAATCAAAATATATCCCACAAAGAAAAAAATATCATATAAACTGTCTCTTTCTCGTTATCCAAGAGGTAACCCTTCCCATACAGTTATTTACACAAACAGAAATGAAAATGAACACAGCACACAAACACACACCACACTAAACTGTTGCTACTGCTACTCTTGTTGTTGTTGCTGTTGTACTTCTACGTACCATTATTACATCATAGTAGGTATTTCTGTTTCTTTTTGTGGTGTTGTTACTGTCGTCTTTTTTTCGGTTCTCTATGTTTTTTCTATAGCTTTCTTTTGATTTGATCAGAGAAAAAAGATAATTTTACTATTATTTATTATTGATGAAAAAAAGAATATCAAATAAAAAGTTCGATAATTAAAAATTGTTGACATTTCATGTGCGCGATAATTTTGTTAATTTCAATGCCACAGACTGAAATAAAATCCCTAATATAATCGTACCAGTTTAGAAAGTGAAAAAGCACAAGACACGTAATCGTGTCTTGTTATTATTTAATAATATGTATGCAAATGCAAATGTGTGCAATGTTGGCATTATTATGTAAGCTATCGCTATAATCACCGACAAGAATGGTAATGTCAAATCGGATATATCGATATGACCTTTGGTAAATTTCCAACACTGTAAATGTATGTATGCTATCTACCAAACAAATGATAATTTTATTGTTAAAGTAAAGTATATGTAAATATATTATACAATAAATAATCCTCACAAAGGCTATGTAAAATCCCCCCCCCCTTTTTGATATATTTTTATTAAACACCACCGCAAGATCTTGATACATCACGCAGCCCTAACCCATTGTTCTGTTTCAACCATTCTTGTCGTAAATTCTGGATCTCTACAGGATCACGTGTGAAATCTTGAGTCTCGTATTTCTTTTGTGCCGACACTTGACCGAATCGTGCTCTCGAGAGACTGTATGTTGTTGCGGCGATGAGTGGTATTGTTAGCCTGTTGTTAGAAAATAGTAGGTTAGCAAAATTTTAAAACAACACAATATCTATCATCAGTTATCATCAATGTACCATAAGACTGTTTTTCGTCCAGTAAATCGGGAGGCTGTTGCAGCATTCATTTTTATATTTGAGTTTTTAGGAGTATGTTACTTTTTATACAGCCAAAATCAATACAAATGTTATATATATATGGCGTGAGAAGATGTGTTTAATGTTTACAAGTTAAAAACTCACAACAGAGAATGTCTCCTATTTATATCAAAAATCAGAAACTGAAACAACCACTAACGCTAAATATAAAACACTAATACTGATAAATCAGATTATTAAATAAATAAATTTCCCACGCACTCACATGTATGATACTTATTCGTTATTGTTCTGATACATACACCTTTTTTTCCTTATTTCAACAATTATTGACGATGTGCCACATAGTGTTGTATACTTTCTTTGTTCAACATGAATAAATATTCGAGGTATACAAAGTGGTCGTGTTTATTAAACCTGTCCAATTATGCATTTGCATGATACATTCGGTTATAATGGAGATCATACAAGAATTCAACGCGATTTGTTGAATAGAATATGGCAAGTCACTATTTCCCTTTATTACTTTGTCAAAAGTAAACGCATAAAGGGGTGGCTTGTACATACTATTTTGTACACGTCAAATGGTAATCACACAGGGATTACGTATACAGTCGCGCAGGATTATGTGTACACCGGATATTACAGCATATTTTATTCCATTGACTGACATATTCTGGTGTGCAAGTACATGTATTTATGCATAGCAAATAAGAAGATAAATGGCATACTCATATTTTAAATGAGCTTGCCTCTTTGAAATTTATAAATGTATCATAAAGTTACTTTAATATGCAGAAAATAGAATTCTCTGCCAATTACATAGAAGCAAACAATTTCTTGATCATACTGATGAGACATAAATCATAAATAAAACGAAGAATAGAGTGTCTCACATACAGTGGTCGTCATAAATACGCGGTATCGTAATTTGTTCATATCATCATGAAGATATATATATTTTCTAATATGAATAATAAGAAATTATTACTCGTAATTTTTTGACAATTTTTCATTATATGTACAATAAATAAATACATTACATCAATTACAAAGTAATCTTGTTCCTGTGCGCATTATTAAAAAAGTATTATTAAATGAAAAATATCTAACTTCTTTATTATACAAAAACAACTTTGTGGTATACATGTATTACTTCTTACTTTGAAGTTTAAACGTAAATTGAGAGTAATATTAATAATCTAATCTGTTTGGTCTCGCATTAAAATTTTGTGAAATGTTGCAATTGCCCATAATGTTATGACGGTAAACTCGATTTTTAATTTCGATTCCAGATAATATTAACGAACAATTATTACAGTAGATTGTATGTTCTTTTTCTGAGAACCCACACAATATTACTAACTACATTATTATACTATCCCAATCACAAGATTTCCTATTTTGCTGTACCCCACAAAAACTAATTTCTAAATAAGGACTTTCTTTTGTCTGGTAAAAAAGTCACATTTCCATATTACACGTGTCTTCTCCTGATTAGGTCACACAGTGCACCAAAAATTAACGGGAAGTGCTTTTGGACAGTGCTGAATCATGTGGCCTTTGACACAAGAAAGTAAAATGTTAAAATCTAGCTTGAAGTACTAATAAAAATTGTCGGAAAAGCATTTTACATATAACTTTGTCCTCAACTCTAACCCTAACCCTAATACAAACGATAAAATAACCTTTAACATTTCCGCGATCACGCGATCGTGGATTTTGAAGACCACGTGATCCAGCACTGTCCACGCTAAGCTGTCTTGAATTAGCAAAAAAAATATTCTAAAAATATGTTTAGAATTCTAGTAGACTTCCTGAAACAATTGAAACGAAAAAATTTGGATGATCAGATGACGAAATCGCCAGCGTGTAGGGGGAATCGTCCGACCACGTGATTTCCGGACCAAATGATCTGCATTATTTGGTCCGA